GTAACTAACTGTGGGAAAGTTTTAGGTAATGAAGTCAGCTTTCTGGACAGATCTCAGAGTTGTGGTTTTAAGGACACCAAAGTAAAGGATCAGATCTTAACTTTGCAAGTCCACAGACTGGATTTGGTCAGTATGACCAGAGTTGGTCATACTCAGCAGAACTGACTTGTCATCACTAGAGAACAAACCATTTATTTACATGCATTGAAGAACGTTAAATGAAAAAGAAGATCAGAATATCTTCATTGACTATGCATGTTTGCCCCGTAGGGAAGTCTGAACAAGTGGCTCAAAGGCCGTGAATGGAGAGACCTCGTCAGCCATTGGCCTCACTGGTGCCACGTTCCCTAGTCCCCAGGGAGTGTAACTGATAGCCACCTTTTCCTTACAAATTGTGATAGAGAATTGCTCCAGCCATTCAAGCCTTGTTCTTTCTTTGGTCTGTCCCCCCCCCCCCCCCCCCCCCCCCCCCCCCGCATCGACCAGGTTGGTGGTTTAGTGATGATTAATTTGAAGTCAGTTAGAGTTCTAGGAATTTTGTGTTTGATTTTTGTTGAGTCAGGGTCTTGTATGTATAGTCCAGTCTAGCCTTGAACACACTGTGTAGCCCAAGCTAGCTTCAGACTCATTATCCTCCTGCCTCCGCCTCAAGTGCAGTAGTTCTAGGATTTTTAAAACAAAGAGTTAATCTCATTATGTCTTGGTTTTGCTCCTTTAATTTCACCAGAGTAAGCTTATCTCCAAATATCTGTTCCTTTTGTTTTGGATGTGACTTGTACTCATCCTTTACAATTTAGCTTAAGCGTCTTTCCCTCAGCATGCCTTCTGTTCATGTCCTCCTTTTGGCCAGTTTAATTTGGACTCCCCTGCTCTTTTCTCTCACACCATCCTGTACCTCTGTGCTCTTTTCTCTGTATCCTAGAGCACTTACCATGTCTAATAATTATTTCCTATCATCCTCTTTCATCAGACAGTATGCTTGATAAGAATAGCACGACATTTTATTAAACTCTGTGTCTTTAGCCACTAGTTCAGTGTCTGGTGGAAGGTAGGGACCCAGTAATGGTTCAGATGGATGAGTAAAGAAGTATTTATGCTGAGCCCTTAAATAATTAGTAGAACATTTTTCAGAAAAAGATACATCAGTCTATGCTCTGGATCCAGCTGACATGTTTCTCTGTCTTCCTTGACCTCTTGCAGGGCCTGACTGAGTAGAAGGGTGATTGTGGAAATCAGATTGCTGCCTTAATATATCTCCTCAGTGCTCTGTTCAGCTAACCTACATATTTGAGTTTTAGTTCCATGAAAATGGCAGCATTCTTCAGTACTGTAATTTGGAGATGTCTAGTCTCTTACAACCTTATTTTCAGTTATCCATGTTAAATACCAAGTCATCCCAAATCCTAGTAAATCAAAGCAATAATTTATTATCACAATTTCAAATTCTAGTGAATTCAGCAGGGTGGTTTTGTGGGGTCTGGCATGTCGAAGATGGCTTCTTCACTCATGTGGTATCTCACCTGGGACAGTGAAACATCTTTCTCAGTATATGTGGCCTTTCCATATGACTACTTTGTACTATTTCTCACCATGGTGATCTCAAGACAGCAAAACTTTTTATATGAAGATTGGCTTTTAAGACAGAGAAAGTGTAAGCTGCATTTTCGTAAAGGCTTGGTTTGGAACTGACACAATGTCTCTTCCACCTTGCTTTATTGGTCAAAGCCAGCCCAGATTCGAGGGGTAGGGAAACAGACTGTATCTTTTGATGTGAGGAGCAGCATGAATGTATGGAAGGGGTAGCAGCCATCTTGTAAGATTGTCTAAAACAGAGCTGATTTTATGTCGTTTAAGCAATGCACATTACCCCAGTACCAACATGACAAAAAAGAAATACATGCAAAAAGTAGTACTTGATCTAAATGTATTAAAGAAGCATGTCTAATTTTGTTTCTTTGAATGAAGTTGTCAGAAAATTGTGCTTTGTGAGAATCAAAGTTAGTAAATTGATCAGTGAAGCCTGGTACTGTTGGCTCATGCCTGTAATCCTAGCTACTTGGGAGGCTGAGATCAGGAGAATCATGGTTCCAGGCCAGCCCAGCAAAAACATTGGTGAAACACTATGTAGCTGAGTGTTATGGCGTATACCTGTCATCTCAGTGATGATGAAAAATAGGAAGATCGTGGTCCATGCTGGCCTGGGTGAAAAGCAAGACACTAGCTCCCCACTAACAGCAAAATGGGCTGGAGGTATGGTTCAAGCAGTAGAGCTCCTGCCTAGCAGGCTTGAAGCCTTTAGTTCAACCCTAGTACTACAAAAAAGAAAAAAAGAAGTTAGTAATGATTGGTGTGTAACCCTAAGTTAAAAAGAGAAACACTATGCTGTGAAAACTCAAGTCTATTAATGGTTTAAAGTTGCTTTCTTTCTCAAGTGAGAACATGACACTTACATGCTTGAGAATCAAAAAGATCTATTTACTATTAATTTTCTCACCTTAGAGGGGATGTTTGGGGAAAAAAATCACATACTTTAAAGCTTCTTGAGTTGATAACTCTACTAGGAAATTTTTTTTTCTACTGGGAAAATGTAAAACATTTTTTTCTCCCCATGTATCATGAATATATCTTAGTAAAAATTTATTTAAAAAAATTTTTTTCTTCCTAGTGTTATAAAAAACAAACTGGAAATGACCCTTATAGTTCTATTTCTTTTCTTTCTTTCTTTTTGTGTGTGTGTGTGTGTGTGTGTGTGGCAGTTGATAACTCTACAGGAAATTTTTTTCTACGGGAAATGTAAAAACATTTTTTTCTCCCCATGTATCATGATATATCTTAGTAAAAATTATTTAAAAAAATTTTTTTCTCCTTAGTGTTATAAAAAACAAACTGGAAATGACCCTTATAGTTCTATTTCTTTTCTTTCTTTCTTTTTGTGTGTGTGTGTGTGTGTGTGTGTGTGTGGCAGTACTGGGATTTGAATTCAGGGCTTCATGCTTGCTAGGCAGGCAGGCATTCTATCACTTGAGTCACTCCTCCAGCTCTTTTTTGTGTTGGGCTTTTTCGAGAAAGGCTCTCCCAAACTATTTGCCAACTGGCTTCAAACTGTGATCCTCTTGATCTCTGTCTCCAGGTAGCTAGGATTATAGGTGTAAGTCATGGGCACTGACAACAGTTCCATTTCTTGCGAAGAGCCATTTATTTCCTGACTGTTTTAAAAGTATAATTAGTTTTGAAAAATCTAAAAAGACCCAGATAACTCAAGATACGTATAGAATAAGTGAGGACATAGCATGTATCCTTTTTTTGAAGTATACAGAATTTCATAAACAGACCCCCTTTGCTAGTGTCACACCTGGTTCATGATCATTTGATAGTCTCTGTAATCAACATGTTACTTTATAACTTGCGTCTCTTTTCCATGTTTGTGGGCATTTCTGTGGCATTTCATGAGAACAGACATGTAATAAAGGTCACCATTTATTTGTAATTTTCACTAAGAAGCCAAGATCCAGGGTCGTGAAAGCCCTGCTGGAAGCTGAGTGAATGAATAATTCACCTGCAGAGGATTGTGGTGGAGAATAGAGTTCCTTCAGTTTCTTTAGAATAGGGACCATATTCTAAAAATAGGCTTAAGATTTCTTTCAAAGATGGACACAGTACAAGAAAAGAGTAAAAATAGGTGAAACAGTTACAACACAGATAAATCAGGCAGGAAATAAAATTGATAAAATTGAGTATTTGAAATTCTCTACTTACTTTAGAGGGGAAAAGAGAATCAAGATTTTAACCAAATCTGGCTCTAACCAAAGAAAGAAGGGAACAGACCCAGTGTGGAAGCTCAAGCCTGTAATCCTGGCTACTTGGGAGGCAGAGATCAGGAAGATCGTGGTTCAAGGCCTACCAGGGCAAAAAGTTTGGGAGACCCCCATCTCAGTCATTGGCTGGGTACTATGAGGCATGCCTGTCATCCCAGCTATGCTGGGAAGCACAGTTAGGAGTATCATAGTCTGGGCTGGCCTGGTCATAAAGTGTGACCCTATTGCAAAAATAACCAATGCGAAAATGGCTGGTGGTGTGGCTTAAGTGGTAAGAGGTAGAGCACCTGCTTAACTAGTGTGAGGCCCTGAGTTCAACCCCCAGTACCTCCATAAAACAGCCAAGACATGCCATGAAATCACAGCTTAGTCAATCGAAGAGCCAACAGGCTAGATTCTGTTTGCAAAATATTTTCACATATGCTGTTTTTATGACTATGTTGGTTCATAGTACCTAAGGAATATGGTCCATGGGAGAAAAAAAATCTAGAACATCCCTTCCTAGAACCTAAAGTGCAGTTATTGGAGCAGATGTGTGGTTCCCTAAAGCCATTTTATGATTTGCAATAAGCATTGAAGCCTCATGAAACAGTTACAGTTCTGATGTTTATGGGAGAAGGTAGAGCATTCGCTGTCTGTAGATTCATTTAACAGTCATTGACTGAGGACCTTGTATGTGGTAGTTATCCTTGCAGTTAGGCCCTGGTGGTGTGGCGGGGGCGAGAGCAGGTGTAGCTAACAGTTAAGAGATAGGAGGGCGCACAGGTGTACAGCTGTGTGAACGTTCGTGCTGCCACTGGGCTGCATACTTGAGCATGCTGCATGTGATGGATATTTTGCAACACTTGCCACAAAAGCCAATTTGGGCAAGGAAAAGCTATACAGTGGTACTAGCTCTAGCACCTGGGGGTGAGGTTTTGGTAACTATGAAAGGGACCTCTACCCTGCCTTTGGAGAATCATGGGGTCCCTGATCCAGAAGGAAGCCACTACTGTTACCCTGGCTTTGGATCTTTAGGATGACAAATGGAGTCTGTTGTGTGTGACCTCAGGAGGCAGTTGCACCTACCTGCTGGTAGAAATTGAAGGGCCAGGACGGTGTTGTTGCCTGCAGCAGGCACCCAGCTGCACAGGAGACCTGGCTTTCCATCTTAAGCAAGTCTTTTCCTCTTGTTTCTGTTCACAGACAGCCATCCTGAGGCGGCAAGGTCGGTATGTGTGCTCCACGGTTCCCGCGAATGCAGAGGAGGAAGCACAGAGCTTGTTTGTTACAGAGGTAAGGCCTTTTTCTGCATTAGTTTTAAAGACATTTTTCATTAACCCGTTTTCTTTAAATTTCAGTATTTTTAAGAAAGTCTCAAAGAGATAATTATATGTTTATAATGTGAGTTAGAATAGGATACTTGAACTTTTCAAAGTCTTAAAATGGATAGAAATGTCCACAATTGCAACTCAGTTGCTTGTTTTTTGTTTCCCTTGAGGGCAGTTCTTTCTCCCAGCTATTTTTTAGATAGGACAAACTAATTAGGTTCTTTAATTTTGTTTGTTAAAGTGCTCTTCATTTAAAAATTAAGTTTTGCCCACTTTTTCTAGTTGATACTTACATGTTTAAAATTTTTAAATGTGTTGTCCTGTCCTTCTGAAAAGGTAACCTCCCCTCTAATGTCCTTTTCTTCTAATTCCAGACAAATACAGTCAGATAGGTTTCTGTAGTCATAAATACCTTTATTTAAAAGCAGGAGACAGGCAAACTATGACTGCAGGCAAAATCTGTACTGCAGCGTATTTTTGTAAAAGAACTTTTATTGTAATGTAGCCATGCCCATGTGTTTGCATATTGTCCGTAGCTGCAGTCATAATACAACTGAGCTGCCACAGAGATAGCATGACCTACAAAGCTGGAAATATTTACTATCCGGCCTTTTGCAAAAAGTTTATTGACTTATGTTTTAAAGCATGCAGCAAAATTATTACTCAGTTCTCCCGACTGTCTTAAAAAATAGTTTTGAGGGATAACTCTCCACTGAGTTCTTTAATCCCTGCAGGTTGAGCAATAACTGCTTCATCCTATGCTGCTGGAGCCAATATAACCAAACCCTTTGGGTCCCTTCCACTTGGGTGGAGTGCAACATCACTTCCTGTCCACTCTGTAGTCAGAAGAGAATGATCTACTGGCTAAAAGAAAAGCCTTCATAAACTTTTCAGTGTAACTTCCAAATGTTACTGAATTTCCTAAGTTTGAAAGATTAATCATGCAGTCACTCAGTCATATCCCTGCCTTGCCTTTGGCGGTGCGATTCTCTGGATAGGATTTCTGCTCGAACCGTTATCTCCTAGCCTTTCTAGAGCCCCTGTGGCATGGGAATTGCTGCTTTATTCAGTACCTCTGCCTTGGAGGTTAGCCAGTGCCTGCTATGTAGGCAGTCAACAATGGCCTGTTAAATGAATCACCTGGAGGCTTAATCTGTTTGACTATTTTTTTCAATTCCTTATAATTTTAAATATTTAGACATTATAATTATCGTTCCAATTTTTGCCTAAGGTGTTAAAAAACCTAGATGCATTTGTGATCTACAAGTCTATGCTTATGTCCTTAGCTTTAAATGGGATAGGTACATTCTGTACTTCGGGATGGTTTCACTGTCCTACAGGATGTGAAGGTCCTGCAGGACCTTGATGTCTTAGTTGCAGTGCTTGATGTACCACCACCGTGGCCAGATGCAGCGAACAGGGGCCTGTCACAGAGCCAGGCCTGCCTCAGCTGGGCCAGTGGACCTAGGGACGGTGGGGGAAATTCCAAACTGAAGATGAGTTTGAAGTCATATTCCATGTTTTTGGAATGTAATTTTGATTATGAATGTCTGAAGTTCTAGATGTGAAAATGTTATGAGAAATTTTAAACAGCACTTATAAGAATATAAAGAGACTTTTAAAGTTTGTGACTGCATAGTAAAAAAATTGAAAAATCGCTCAGCTCCTGTACTTAGCCCTTCTTTGCTACTTACTCCACCTCCCAAAATTATATAAAACACTCTACCTTTCTTTTGCACCCTTTTAAGTGCTTTTCCTAGAACCTGGCACAGAGCAAGCCCTGGCTGTTGTTGGTGATAGTGTTCACAGCAGCGGTGCAGTCTGTGATCAGAAGACTTCCAGATTCTTTTCGTCCATGTGGAAGAATCCATGGCAGGACACGTGGGTGTGAATGGAGTTTATTAAAGTTAGGGAAGGAAATACAAAGGGAAGCATGGTGGGCCCAGGTGGAATCTGGAGGCCAAGAGAGCCTGCTTCTCTTCTCCAGGTGCCTTAAAAACCTATGCTAACCTATGGGAAGGGAGGAACCAGGTGATTCCCATCCAATAATTAATGAGTGGGGCGTGGCATGGGTGGACCCCAGGCCAGGTGAGGGCTATCCAAGCTGTCCAGGGCATGGTCATTTTGAAATGCAGTATTAAGTCATTTATTCTCTGTGTGTATCCAGCTTTCCCTAACACAGTCTTGCCTCAGTAGGATTTTCATGAGTTTGTGGCTACAGTGGAGTTTGCTTCAGAAGGCCTTCAGGCGAAGGCTGGGACATAAATAAAAAGGGCAAATTTATATGATATTAACTAGCAGAGCTGGTTTTCATATTAGTTAAATACCATACTTTCTCTTCACTTTCATGTGCTGGATGAGGAGACAGGCCTGCTTCTTCTGCAGTACTTTTAAGTCAGAAACAGTACATTGCTGTGTAAATGTACTCGGCAGGTATGGGGAAGTTTGTCTCCTAAGATTATTAGTGATGACAATTCAGAGTGATACCGCTCCCTCCAGTGGCTCCAAGTGTTCGGTTTCACAGGAGACTGGTGGTGGAGTTTCCAGCATTAGCTGGTTGATAGCGAAGCTTTTTTTTTGATCTGCCTTCCAGAACCTTCCAGAATGTTCTCCAGGAGTCATTGCCTACCTTTCTGTTTTCCTCTCATACTATTTTTTAAACCCCTCCCCCCAATAGTGCATCAAAACCTACAACTGCGATTGGCATCTTGTGACGTATAAATATGAAGATTACTCCGGAGAGTTTCGACAGCTTCCCAAGTGAGTGTGGGGAAAGTCTTGGCGCTTGCAGTGCTGGGAGGGATGTGACTCCGGCCGCAGTTAGGGCTCTCCCGGGTTTGGGTGTATGATTGGCGAAGCCTTCAGGGCTGTGACTACAGGAGCACTTCTGGTGTTGGCAGGTGTTAAACTTGAATGTTTTAATTATGTCCTGGGGTTCTATTGAGAGTCCCACTGATAGAACATCAATAGGTGAAATTTTTCACTGGGAAATAGAAAACAAAGAAAATATAAATGTGTTGAAAAATATGTCTTTACTTTTTTTGTGTGGAGAACCTTGGGCTTTCTAAGCAGTGCTCTACCACTTGAGCCATGCACCCAGTCCTTTTGCTTTTAGTGTTTTTTTCAGATAGAGTCTCATGGTTTTTCCGGTCTTGTACCACAATCTTCCTACTTTGGCCACCCTTGTAGCTAGTATTTTAGGCATGCATTACTATGCCTGACTTGTTTTTGAGATGGGGTCTCTCTGACTATTTTTGCCTAAGCTGGCCTGGAACTACAGTCCTCCTGTCTCTGCCTACCAAGTAGCTGGGATTACAGGCGTGAGCCACGGAACCTGGTCCAATTTTGTCTTAAAAAGAGTATTTTGAAAGAAGAGACTCTTAAAGAGTATTCTATATTGAATAAATTTTGTTTTAAAAAAGTAAATCATAGAACAAGTACTTTTGCAGATAAATTCCTCACCATCTTTGAAGCGTTAATGCAGTTTAGAGTATACCAAAAGTAAGAGTGTTTAGATAGATTCTTGGTAAAGTGAACCAAAAGTAAGTGGGTTTTGCCTGAAGAAGCTGTTATAAAACAGTGCATCTCAAAATGATGCAGTTGGCAAATTGAAATATAGTTGATCATGAAAATTGAAAGCAAATAGTGGTGTGATTTTTTTTTTTTTGAACCTTGTGGTGCTGGGGATTAAACCCAGGACCTGGTGCTTGCTGAGTAAGTGTTATACCACTGAGCTACACCCCCTCCGCCCAGCCCTAGACTGTGTTTTAAAAGGAACCATTACCAATGAAAATCTTCCTTGAGACCCAATGCATATGTTTCCTTGTGTTTGTTGCGTCTGAGTTTGAACCTTTTATACTGTTCTCAGTGAGCCTCGCTGTTTGTTTTTCCTTCTTGTGTGGCTCAGCCACTCCTTAAGAGTAGTCCAGCCAACTTCCTGATTGCCTCTTTTAAACCTTAGCCCAGAGAGAACAGTCCCTCCTAGCATTATCTTCTCCAGATGGGCAGGCTCTTTAGTTCTGTATTTGCCCAACACTCACTTGGAGACTTTTAAAATAGCTCCCATTTGATTGGATTAATCCGTCTTCATTGACTGTCTTATTCAATGTGTGAATAACACACATTGGCATATAGGGTACTATTATATGATAGACTTCCTGCTGGTAGATTTTACATTTTGACATTAATGAGGATTTCCAAATACATGATGAGTGAGGGAGGATCTTAACTGGTTGAGAACACAGGTGGTCTTCTGCCTAGGTTAACTGCCCTCTAAATCTCAGCTTCCTTGACTATTAGTTAGGTTTTCTTCACTACAGTCCCCATCTGTAGGGTTGAGGAGATGACGCATGTGCAGTAGCAGCACGGCCCTGGAACCATCTGAGAAATGACGGCCACTGCACCCTCATTAATCACTTTAAACACAGTCCTTTGTTTTCTCATCAACCTTGTGCTAAAAGTTATTCGACCAGTTCTCTACTTACGGATGGATAATCCACTTTCCAGTTTCTAATATATCTGCTAACTCCCCAGCAGGGTAGGCTGTCTTCTCCATACAGCTTTCTGACTCTTTTAAGTCTCTTGGCTCACCCACTTGAAAGCAAGTTGTAAAGTGTGTGCTAGTCCTTATCTGAGTAGGCCATCGTTGGGATTATTAAAGGCTGGTTCCTCTGATGGAGGAAGAAATGCAGACTCTATTGATTAGCCAGTTATACAACAAGTTTTCTTTCTTGTTTTTAAAGCAAAGTGGCCAAGTTGGATAAACTTCCAGCTCATGTGTATGAAGTTGATGAGGAGGTCGACAAAGATGAGGTGGGACGCTCGCTTGCTGTTTCTTTTCACTTTAAACGTTGACTTTGCAGGCTTTGAAGCTTATTAGAAAAATTATCAAGCTTTAGCCAAACACAGGAAGTGGAATGTTTCATGAATCAGGGGAAGAACTTTTTTAATGTCTTATTGGATTGATTGGCATAAGGTCTCTGTTTGAACTTGACTGCTTAGCATCTCATGTTCTTTGGGTTGTGTTTATTTGTTCCGAGATCATTTTCAAAGACTTGGATCAGATTTGGCTACGTTGTTAAAAGATATCAAGATTACTTAGAATTAAATTTAGGTATTTTTTTTCAACAGGATATGTTAAATTGCAAGCCAGTAGATTTTAAATGGCTGTTTCTTCAACGATTGCCTATATTGAAGTCTGACTTAGTGCGCTCACTCCCCTTACTCTGGGAGAAAAGATTATGGTCAAAGAGAGTAAGGCATTTCAATGAGTAGTCCACTGAGCCAGAGAAACCTTATAAAAAGACAGAGCTATGCACCACTGCATTTTTCTTTCTCCCACTAAGTATTTTTATTTAGTTGTCAACTGAGCCATAACACTACCTACCTGTGCGCTTTAACCGTATTCATATAACAAATTGTTTTAGAAATCACTTTAAAGGTAATTCTGAAAAAAGTAAGTGGTCATCCAAAATGAGCAAGGTATTAAGAACTTGATGCTGATTAATAGGGACAGCAGGACCAACTGAAGTTATGGGTGTAGACACACCCAGTAACCTAGAAGATCCTTGACGGGTAAATTATTTCTACTAGCTCCAATAATAACAAAATCACCAATATTAATATTGAGATGGTCCAAAACACAGCTTAAGATGGGTCCTTCTGCAATTGACTTTTTGATTACAAAAGATTTGCTAGATTGTGTGTGTATATTCTGTCTGTTTATGATCCATACAGACACCACCTCCTTAAACCCAGATCTCACTGTGTGTAATCTGAAGCAACACTTTTCTTGACTTCTCTACCTGTTTCTCTTCTCCTTCTTCCTCTATTTCTGCTTATATTCTCACCTCTTTCCCTCTTCTTTTCCTTTGCCTCATTATTTTATCTCTTTTTCTGCATTGTCTCATATTTCCTCTCTTTATTCACCTTTCTCTGAACTAAGTTTCTGGGACGTTTTCCAAGAATTTGCTTTTGTCCTCCAACTATAAGGGAGTGTAATTTGAAAATATTTTTCATGAAACCAGGAGAGATCTCACAACTAAGTGGTCAAGTGTACTGTGTCCTTGTGGCTTATTAAACACTTTAAAAATAAAATTTTGAACTGGAGCTAGCTTGCCTTT